CGGGGCTGGCTGGCATGTGGTGCTGGAGGATTGAACTGTGGTCCTTGTGCTTTGCCAAGCTTGTTTCAAGTAGGTGCTTTAGACCACTGAGCCATCTCTCCAGCCCCTAAATTATTATTATTATCATTATTTTTTGAGATAGGGTTGGGACCTTGTGCTTGCCAGGCAGGTGCTTATGCTGCTGAGGTATGTCCTCAGCCTCTTCTCTGAAGAAACCGGGGATTGAACTCAGCCCCTTGTGCTTGCCAGAGAAGCACTTATTCTACTGAGCCGTCTCCCCAGCCCCTTCTCTGAAGATTTAATTAGGGGCAAAAGGTATGCTAAGCAAGCACTTTGCCACGAAGTTATATCTCCAATTCTTTTTATTTTTTATTTTTTTAAACAACTTTGCTTTTATTTGCATAACACATAAATGCAGTACTAAATGTATAGCAGCATAAAACTATAGTAGTATACTGTACTATATTGTACAATTAGTAAAATTTGCATAACTTATTATAGAAGAAACTGCTATAAGGTTGCACTGTTGTCCACATTCCTTCATTGTAAGTCTGAATGTGGGTTGTAAATCCACAAAACACCCTTTGGTCAAAAATCTGGAGTCGTTAAACTGGCATGCTGTTAAATGAGGAATATCTATTTTGATTGTTTTCTCATTTTTTTTTTTTTTTAAGTTTCCATCATTCTTTTATTCTCTACTATTTTTTTTTTCGTAATATTATTGAGAAACAAATAGCAATGAGACAGTTTCAAACCAAGTTGGTAGGACAGTTCCAATAATTAACACATTGCATACATTCTTCCTAGTGGTTAATTGCTGTTCAAGATGCGGACTTGATATCCTGTCTACAAACACCATTAGAACAAATCCTTCTATTCATTATGAGAACGTAACTATATATCTATCCCAACCACCTTGAATACACAGATACAAAATGGACATTCATCTATATCCCCCTTTTTTGTTAAGTTCCATCATTAAATATTATAGGTATATAAACTCAGCAAAATATTCTAAAAGAGTTCAGTAGTCCATAATAATACTGGGTCTTCTGCTTCACTGGCAATGTCAGAAATTGTTGACCTGAGTCCCCTTACAGCTCAACACAACACCATGGCTTTACTTCTTTTTTATTTTTTTATTTTATTTGTTTATTTAGTGTGTGTGGCCAGCTCAGCCCACCAGGGGGCAGGGCTGGCTGGCATGTGGTGCTGGGGGATTAAACTGCCCTCCCTGTGCTTTGCTTAGCTTAGCTTGTTCTAAGTAGGTGCTTTAGACCACTGAGCCATCTCACCAGCCCCTGGATTTA